CCCCAAAACCCCAAAACCCCAAAACCCCACGGAGTGATTCATGGATTGAAATGATTATATATTGGTTGCGATATTTTAATAAGTATTAGATATGGAAAGCTATCAAAATATCGCATCCAAATACATATCTTCTAATGCTGCCGGAGGTATTGAAGAGTCAAAAGAATCTCATCAAGAGGACCCATTCGGCCTAAAATCACTGGGGAGTGAAGACCAGACAAAGCCTACCTTGAGGAGCTTCAAAATTAAGTCAAGTATTGTCTCAAAGGCGCTGGAGAACTTCTTTACATACACCCAATATTGTCAAAGATATGAAGGAGATATCCAAGAGCTCCATCAACAGTGGGGACACCAACTTGTCCAACTTAAGCTTAAGGTCAACAACATTGAAGATGAAGGGAGACTCCAAGAACTTGAAGATTTTGACAAAGAAATTAATCTGATGAAGAAGGAGATGAGCAACCAAGACATCTTTGCTAAGTTTAAGGATGAATCCTATTGGAGACTTCTGGAAGAAGAGGTGGTTGCTAACATTTAATCTCGAAGATAAATCTTCTTCACTGCAACAACGAGTCCATCCCAAACCCGCTTTGGACAGACTCTCCTTCTCTTCAACAGAATTCGACTCCTACTATTGGCTTCAAAAGGGCTGACAGAGGCCTTTTAGATCAGTTATTCAGCTCATACTATGGATGAACAGACCAGGAGATATGAATGTCACCAAGGGGCTTGACAAAAGACTTCCTGATTTAGGAGAATTATGGCTTAGGAATATTCCTAGTGAGAGTCAAGAGGCAAGGGATTGTGTTGCCAAGTATTTCCCCAAAAAAGTACAGCTGTTTAGCTTTAATTATGAATCTGCTCTGGGGAGCATCGACTTGTATCACTCTGCCTTGCTGGCTGCTACTTCTTCTGTGACAGAGACTGTTTTTCTTTATAATTTCAAGATCTCCCAGGCCCAGACCATCGCCCTCCTCGCTGCCTTTCGCAAGGTCACAATCTTTGGCTTGTGTTCTTGTATCATGCACATTCCCTCTGTGCCTTCCTTCCCTGACTCCATGGCCAACTCCAACATTTGGCAATTAGATTTCTCCAGTTCAGGAGATAGAGCCCACGGAGACTGGGGGGAGGATAGCTCGTGATTCAGTAACTTGATGGCTGGGCTCGCACAGGTAGACATCCTAGGGGAAACTTGGAGTGGGTAGGCATCCATGACTGTGGAATGAAGAAGGAAGAAATAAATGCGATCTTGGAGAACTGTGGATACGGCAATGTGAATATTTCAGGAATTATGTAAATTCTTCAGTTTCAATAGGAGTCACATATGTTGGGGTTTTGGGGTTTTGGGGTTTTGGGG